TTCTCCATTCATATAAGGCATTTTTGCTGAAGTATGGAGTACATGTCTTTGATCTGTTGAGAAGGTTCTGTTCTACTTCTAGTCTCCTGATAGCTTTCACCATGAACAGCTGTAGAATTTAATCCAATACTTTTTCTCCAATTAGTGACAGGATCATATGGCTTTTTCCTTTCCTCGGTTAAAATGATGACTTTAGGGGGTGGATCTTCCAATGCTGAACCAACACTGCCATCCCTATATTAAACCACTTTCTACATACTGCCAAAATAAAAAAAAATTTTTTTTGAAGAAAACAGCTCTGACTTTTTGAAAATAGAATGTTTTTTATTTGAGGTTTATGTAATTTTTCCTCATATTGAGATTCAGATTATGTGCTTCTGACTGGAATACTATACTGCATCAGTAATAATGTGTACTTCTTAGGATTTCGTATCCAGAAGCACATGATATACACAGTTATGTTAAACAGATCAATTTAAATGTCAAAAGATTGGTATATTAAATGTAAGATTTGCTGCTGTTACTGTTAATACATTTTACATGAGAGTCATCAAAATGTTATATTTAAACTGAATTTCTGGAATTTAATAGTTATGGGTATTTCTATAAAGTCATTGCATATTTTTAATGTTGAATTTATAGTGTACTTTAAAAAGTGAATTAATTTCTTATACTTTTTCTTATTCTCATTCCTCAGATTATTAGGATGTACTGTAATCTATTTATAGAACTAATGAATGACTAGATAATAACCATTTAATTGAAGCAAAGAACAAATTTTACAGTATGGAGTAGATTGGAGAACTGTAGCTGGAAAGATATGTTATTTTTCCCTTTTAAAGCATAAATGTCATTCTGTGTGTACAACTAAAGCTGTCTTGTGTCTAGAAAAAAAAAAAAGATAAAAAATAAAACAGGGCTGGGGGTGTAGCTTAGTGTGAAGGCCTAAATAAAATCAATCAAGAAGTTATTTTCAAGCGTAATAAATGTCCACTGTCTCTCCCTGCCCCCAAGCGGGCTTGACTCTAATTCGGCACACACTCTTTTTCTCTTAAATGTTTCCAGGTGCAAAGATAAAAGACACTGGAATTAACAGCTTCTTTGAAGTCCATACCAAAAGCCCCTGGCAGATTCAGACCTTTTTTCTCTATAGTACTCCTTGATCAAACTTCAAAGCAAGGGTAGGTAAATGTTTCAGTACAATGAAAAATAAAAAATATGGACTGTCAATTTTATTCAACACTCAGACTATCAACTTGAACTTCCCTTTAAGAATTTTAAAATTTGACTTTTCAAATTCCCATTAAAACATCTACTAAAAAGACATACTAACTTCGGGGCCGGGGATTTAGCTCAGTGGTTTTGACACCTGCTGCGCAAGTGCAAGGACCCAAGTTCCATCCCTGGTACAAAAAAAAAAAAAAAGAAAAAGACATACTAACTTCTTTACATTTTTCCTCTAAATCATTTATTTTTGCCCCTGGTATAATATCCTTATTTTCCTAAATGAAAAACCCTAAATTCTAGAAAAACATTTTAGAATTTTAGTACTTTAAAAAAACACACATCTGGCAGAAGGAAGAAGAGGATCTTTTTCCTTTCAGCACATTTAGATTCAACACTGTTGAAGCGCATGATAGGGTAGTAAGCCTGTCTTCAAGAAAGAGTGGGAAGAATGGAGGAGAAATGACAGAAAAAAAGAATGGATGATGTGGTTTGATGACACAAGTTCCAAAGCTGGAGGGAGAAATAATCTGGATATGACCCTGAGGAACTACTGTGTCTAGTGTTAAAAAGAAAATGGGAGAGAACGCAGCAATGACTGGAAAGATCTCGGGGGAAGCAGTGTCCCCAAGGCACAGTCAGATCTCCATCAGCGTCGGAAGTGAAGGTGACATTCTGGAAAGGTTAAGGTTGTGAGAGAATCTGTCAAGGACAGTAAGTTCTAAAATTATAGTGAGAAAGTTTTGTTGCTCTTTTTCAAGTGGGAAAGTTTTGAGAGTTGGGAAGGATGGAAGAGTCAGATTCACAGACATAAAAAGCCAAATGGGGATGAGTCTGGATGTTAAAAATACGACCTAATGGCCTTGGGCTTCTTGGAATAACTGCTACCAGAGAGACAGAGCAGGTAGCCAGACACACAAGGTAACAACAGGAGACAACAGTGAGCTGGAGGGTTGACAGCACAAAGGCCAGTGACTTAGGCCCATTTTTGTACACTTTACCCAAAGAAATAAAACAAAAGAGGCCCTTGATTAGTGTCCACGAATCGGAGTTGGACACGCAGCAGAAAGACAAAGGGCTGAAAACAGTAAAGAGTGGGCACATGCTCAGTGGCAAGACGCTTGCCCAGCAGGTATGAAGTCCTGGGTTCAATTCCCAGCACCCCCAAAAAGCAGCAAACTGAATAAAAACTAGCAAAAGGACAATAATCTATCCAAATCAACAAGCACACTGGCCCTAGTGATTTGTAAAAATAGGTCTCACTAAATGCATCATTATCTAGTTGTTTTCTCCTCAAAAAGCAAATCAATCAGAGCCGGGCATGTTGGCACATGCCTGCAATCCCAGCACTGACGAGGCTGAGACAGGAGGATCACAGGTTCAAGGTCAGCCTTCGCTAAATGACAAGTTCAAGGCTGGCCTGAACTACACTTAAGAGCCCATATCAAAAAAAAAAAAGGAGGGCTGGGGATTTAGCTCAGTGGTTTCACCACCTACTGTGCAAGCACAAGGACCCAAGTTCAATCCCTGGTACCAAAAAAAAAAAGGAAAGAATCAAAACAGTAAAATAAAAACACCAAAACAAGAAATAACCAAATAAATAATTCTCTTTATATACTGTAAGGAAGTACAGTATGAATATTTTTAACAGCAAATTAAAATTTTTTTCATACATACTCTTGTGTGTTCATATGGAATGTCCACTGAAGGGTGGTAGCATACTATTGTCCTGCCATCAGATGTCAAGGCAAGCTCTACTTTGCTAAAAAAGAATGTTTTAGACATAGAGTTATATTACATTCAAGGTGGAATGATTATTCTTAGGGCTAAAATTAATTCATCACAAATTGCTAAAAAGAATATTCTTTATTACTGGGTTAGAAGAAATTTTCAGTGAATGGTATGAACCCTGACAGAAAACTGTGAAAACTAATTAACTTTTCCAAAAACCAAAAGGATGCTTCAGGATGAAAAGATAGCATTTCTAACAGCATGTCATAAATTAAGTAGTCTCTGAAACACAATAATAATGAGTTTTATTTAAAATGTTTATAATCCTAAACTGGGTCAAAATAAGATCATTGAAATCATTTTTAAAAACAAAATTACAGAAAGATAATCAGAAAAGTAAGCAGAAGGAAAAATTAAATCATTTCAGATACAGCTAAGACTATTATTTTTTCCACTGAATTTTAATACATACCAATTATAGTCATCTGGAAGAGAAGAATACGTAGATTTACAACAAACACAAGATAAAGCTCCATCTGCAAAAACCCAAGACAGGGAAATAAATTTAGTTCATTTAATTTTTTTTTTTTTTTTGAGACAGTCTCACTGTGTAGACCAGGCTGACCTTGAACTCACTATGTAGCCCAGGTTGGCTTTGAACCTGTGGCAATCCTCCTGCCTCAGCCTCCCAAGTGCTGGGATTACAGGCATGCACCACACACCACCACACCCAGCTAGATTGTTAATTTGAGCATATACTCTCACATCAATTTAAAGCTAGTTTACTCATTTAACCAACATTTACTGTTCCACAGGAAACAGGTCTCCATGATGTGGCAGGGATTCAATAGCAAATACAAGTGAGTCCTGCCTTCAGAAGGGACCAGAAGAAGGGACTCCAACACAGCAGGCTCGCCTGGGTAGGATGGGGCGGCACAGGGCAGAGAGCGGCACATGCGCAGGCCTGGCCAGCGCAGAGGGTAACCACGGTGCCCCAAGGAGCAAGGCAATGAGGCACAGTGCTAAAAGGTTGGATACAGCACTCCTCCAGGGGAAACGACAGGTAGAACAGATTCACAAAGAAAGTCTGGTGGCTCCTCAGTTCACAAGCTTGATTCTTTCCACGATTTGGCTCACAAACTGAATTGGATGAAAACTGAATCAAACTTCCCCCTAAGATCAATATTGAACCTGAACTTTGAACTTGATTCAGTTCTTGTCCAATTCAGCTTGTGACCAGAACTGTGGAAAGACTTAAATTTGTGAATTGAGGTACGATGTATTGGGGTATTCTGACCTTTCCAAGAATGGGATGTAAATGGGCATTCTGAGGTACACAATTTATAAAGAGTGTTAAGTGATAAAACACAAAATTAACTTTTTTTCCTTTTTTTTTGGTGCCAGGGATCAAACTCGGGACCTTGCGCTTGCGAGGCAGGCGGTGGATCCACTGAGCTAAATCCCCAGTCCTTTTTTTCCTTTTTAACTGTATTTTCCTTTTTTAAAAAAACTTACAATTCAAGGGCCATAATTACTTTCAATGTTTGCAAAAGGTCCATTTATGTTAAAAATTTTTTAAATGTACTTTTCAATACAAAGGAAAAAATTTAGAGATAGCTCATTATAGTTAAAAGTAAATCCTAGGCCAGGCGTGGTGGTGCATACCTGTGATCCCAGCATTTGGGAGGCTGAGGCAGGAGGATTGCCATTGAGTTCATCATTGAGTATTAGCATGACTGAGTGATAGTGGGTAATTTTCCTCTATAACCGCAATTAGCTCTTAGTTAACTTGATATTCTGACAATCATTCCAATCCATTCATTTCAGGGCAAGAAACACATTTATCCCTTGTGATGTATAAGAAGTACTTGGGATATGAAAACAGATATAATATAAAAGTAGTAAGAAATCCAGTAAGAAAAGGTAGTAATTTTCAGTTGGGGGCTGAGGAATGGGTTTTCAGATTTTGTGTGAAACCAATTAGGCCTGGCTACTCATCACCCTTGGGCTGGGTTCCTGTCAGCATGAATCCAAGGCTAAGTAGCAAGGGGCCTTTCTTCCACTTCTCATCAATAAAAACGCTTCTAGATAATCAAAAGTTGACTGTAATTTTGTTCTGACTCTTAGTTTATAGCTAAAGTCTCTTAGCAATCTCCTGCTGTATATACTTAATTCTAAGTTGATTTTATTTTGAACGTGTTAAATGTTATAAACTCAGCCTGGCGTGGTGGCCCACACCTGTAATCCCAGCAGGAGGACTGCTGTGAGTTCCAGGCCATCCTGAGCTACACAGTGAGACCCTGTCTCAAAAAAACAAACAACAAAAAAAGAAAGAAAGAAAGAGAAAGAACAGACTTTATAGAGGGAAAGAAAAGTGAAATAGTTGGCTGAGAATAAGATTTTTACATTCTATTTACTTATATGGGTCCATTGTTTGACCATCAAACATATTAATAGCCTTTCAAGAAAGTATGAGACAGTTCATTAGAATTACATTTATTTTTTTAAATGGCTAGGTACATAGGGAAAAAAAAAGAAAATACATCAAAATATTACCAATGATTATCTTTGGAAGATGGGACTGTGAATTTATCCTTTATTTGCAAACTTTAAGTACTAAAACATAACAATTGGCCAGGTATGGTGGCGCACTCTGGGAGGCTGAGGCAGGAGGACCACAAGTTTGAGCCCAGCCTGAGCTACACAGCAACTTAGAGAGATCTTGTCTCAAAATAAAAAATAAAAATAAAAAAATAAGAAAGGGCTGTAGATATAGCTCAGTGCAAAGGACCTGGGTTCAATCCCCAGTACTTAAAAAAAAAAAAAAAAAAGGAACAGGTATAAATACACTAAGTATAAATGTTTCAAATGAGAGAAAGTTACCATTTCCCAGTTCTTCACCTAAATTCTACTTATGATTTACACAAGCAGTCAGTGTTTAGTCTAGATCTTTTAGTCTTGATTTATGCAATCTGCAGTATCTATAGATTATATTTTAATGCACAAAAAGGATATATGATAAGATATTGTTTTCTGAATGCTTTTTTTTCTCTTATATTTGGTGATATTTCTGTGTTGGTAAGACATTTAGTTAAAATGTGGCATAATTTATTTAGTCCCCTTTTTATAGATATTTAGGTTTTCTCCCTTTTCATTATTGCAAAAACTCCTGCAAATAAAAGGCATATGCAATAACTAAATGTTTTATATTTTTCTTTTTTAGGTTTTGGTACTGGGGATTGAACTCAGGACCTTTCGCTTGCCAGGCAGGCGCGGCGCCACTGAGCTACATCCCCAGGGTACTTTATTCCATAATATCTGAAAATATTTAAAACTCTTTTTAAACATTAAAAATAACCTCACTTACTTTGGATTGGAAATAAATGCTTCAAGATAGCTCTCTTTGATATCGCCCATTTTACTGCTGCTGCCGCTGCCATGATATATAGATAAGCTTATCAGGGGGAAACCACCTTTACAATCTGCTTCTAGGGACACCAATTTTCATTCCTGCTTAAGAAATAAAGAAAAATCAGCACTTGCTACGACAAATTTAAACAGTAGGAGAATACGATAGAAATTACTACCTAGCACTGCAGTCCCTTGAAGCAAGCCTTTTAAAAACTATGCATTTCCACAAAATTTAACAATAGGCCAAAGAGGAACAATATCAAAAGATGAGATGAGAAATCCCAGAACTATGTTCATTACTGTTTCTTCTAAACACAAATTACTCAGCAGCCAGTGGGTTTTTCTACTTAATGAGTACCAGTAAACATGTAATTAATATTAGAAACACTCACACATGGTACACAAAGCATCTCCCCTCTAAAGCTACTGTGTCTGTGTACAACCTCCCAGTACTACACACAAGATCTTATTGCATCACTTACAGTAGTATTGTTTCTGATTAAATGAAATATTACACAAGGCTTATCCTTGACAGATTAAGTACTTTCATAGAGGAACAGGTAAATTTCACCACCTTATATGTGTATAAACTTTTCAACTTTGCCAGGTGCTTTCGTCATTATTTCATTATAGGCGCGTAATAGTCACGTGATGTATTCTTCTTTTTTGAATCATAAAAAAACTGAAAGTACGAAAGTAAGAATTTAAAGAACTTGCTTCCAAGGGCGTTAGAATTGGTCACTTACAAACTGGGAAACTTTAGACAAATCATTAAATAACCCTCCATTTCTTCAGAGGTAAAATGGGGAAAACTAATACAACTTCTATTTGCTGTTGAGAATAAATGACATATGACTATCACATCTTGTTTTTAACTGGCCGCAAAGACTATGCATGCCTTTCCCCAACCAGATAGTGATGAAAAGGAATCTGGACACAGGACTTTTTATATGCTCGGCTATTCACGCTCACTCCTGATACTTGTCAGTACTTCAGCACAGCTGTCCCAGAGTTCCTAGTAGTACATTATTTACAATTTATGGCCCTCTTTCCTATACATGATGCACTCTTTCATGAAGTCTGCGAAATAGATATCTTCATCTCACAGACTGGGTACACCACTGCTTAGTAGATGGCACGGGTAGGACACAAACTCACGTCTTAGGACGACAAACCCAAGAAAAAAACATTCTGGGGGATATTAGGTTCCTTTTACCCAAGGGCAGCACACCCAGCCGAGGGTCAAACTTTTCATCCCAGGGAGCAAATTTCAGGGGCAAATGCCCTGGCACAGAATTCAATGCCAAGAAAAAAGGTACAGAGGGTCTGAAGTATTAGCAACAGACTCCTGGAAGCAAAAAGACCTAGTATTCAGGAACAGGTCCTAAAGGCTTCAACCTGGAAGGGTCCCGGGAGCCACAAGGTCAATCAGCTCAGCGGGACAGCCTCCTCGGCCCGAGTATGCGCGACACCACGTGCCAGTCCTTCGGCAGCACGGAAGGAGCCTGGAGATGACAGCAGCTCCGTTCTGCAGCCAACGACTGGAGGAAGACCTCACCAATTGCATTGAAGCTGCTGGTCCTGCCCGGCTTCTAATATCTCCCCCACACTGAGAAGGCAGCGGTTACCTTAACAGCTACTCACAGCTGGACCGCCATCTTGCCCACATCCGGGTCCTCCGAGGCACCTTCCCGAGCGCTTTTCCGGCGCCGCGAGGCACCCTGGGAAGTGTAGTCTCCGCGGGAGAGCAGCAGACGCAGAGACAGGGCAGGGCGCTCCTGTCTCCCGCCTGTGGTTGCAGCTGCTTGGCCTCATCACTGTCCCGCACACACACATACTTAGAAAGCAGCAAGTCCTATTAAAAGAAAACTTTATAGGGCCGGAGATTTAGCTCAGTGGTTTCACCGCCTGCTACGCAAGCGCAAGGATCGGAGTTCGATCCTCGATGCCAAAAAAAAAAAAAAAAAAAAAAAAAAAAAAAAAAAAAAAAAGGAAAACTTTATATTAATATTCAGAGACATGCTGGATTATTCCTTGGTGGATGAATTGAGGTTTCCATGGGGCAGGAGGCATTCCAGAGAAGCCCTGGGAGGTAGGAGCCTGGATTCTGACTCTTGAAATGAGGAGCTGGAGAGGCCTCCAAGCCCCTGGGTTGAGGAGGGGAAGACACTTCAGGCGCCCTTCTGAAGACTACATTGACGGTGTCATTCATGGACAGGGAAAACTGAAGCAAGTTTGAAGTTTTGAGACGGGTGGAAATGAATACATCTGTTTGGGACTTGTTAGAGTTAAATGGAGGTAAATAAAATGAGGCAAGAATTTAGATATACATGTTTGGATAGTAGAGATTGGAAGAAAGATAAAGATATATAGATAGACATACAATTTGTATGTCTATCTTTGTGATTCTAATATTTTAAAACTTTACAGAAAAATTCAAAAATACAGAATTTTTTTTAAAAGGTATTTGGGAGGCTGAGACAGGAGGATTGCAAGTTGGAGGCCAGCCAGTGCAACATAGTGAGACCTGTCTCAAAATAAAAAATAAAAAGGACTGGAATGTAGCTCAGTGGTAGAGTGCCTCTGGGTTCTAGCCTCAGGACCACAAAATAAATGGGAGAGTATAATAAGCCATGTGCTCCTCATTCAGCTGCAATAATTACCAACTAATGGCCAGTTTTGTTTCATCTGTGCTTTTACCATGTACTTTCTTCTATATTATTTTGAAGCATATAATTTCATCTATAAATGTCTCAGTAAAAATGCTTAAAGGTAAGGATTCTTTTCTTCTATTATAACTACAATATACTGCACACTTTAAAAAAATTGACAGTGACTATTTAGCATTGTTAAATCTCCAGTAGTCAACACACAACTTCCCAAATGGCTCATGAAGATCACATTTTCTATTTAATTGCTTGTTTGAATCAGGATCCAAATTAGATCTTTGCATTTCAGATACTTTAAGTCTTTCTGATTTATAAATTCCTCCTCCATTTCTCTCCCCCCACACCTTTCTCCTTGATTTGCTAAACCAGGTTGTTAATTTTAAAGAAATTCCCACAGTCCTGACTTTGCTGAATGCATTTTTGGGACAGACTCTAATATATTTGGGGGGTGGGGGTTGGTGGTGTCTTGTTTTGATTTTTTGGAGACAGGGTCTTGCTGTGTAGTTCAGGCTGGTCTTGAACTCACTGTGTAGCCCAGGCTGGCCTGGAACTAGCAGTGATCCTCCTGCCTCAGCCTCCTGAGTACTGGGATCACAAGTGTGCACCACCACGCCCAGCTGCTTTTTTTTCCTTTTTTTTTTTTTACAGCCTGCCTTTTGTCCTCTTGCATTCTCATCTTCTCTGTCCTGGGGCCTGCAGATGCCTGGCAGGAGAATATTAGTAAGTCCAGCTGACTGTAGGTTTAGAGTTGTGTTCTCCAGGTAGCTTTCTTAACAATGGACACAGTAGTTTGATCTCCATCTGCTGACTCCTGTATGTACCTTTCAACTGGTTATACTTCCAGGAGGGAAAAAAAAGACAGTGTTTAGCTGGATGTGGTGGAGCACGCCTGTAACCCCAACACCGTGGAGGCTGAGGCAGGAGGATTGCTGTGCGTTCAAGGCCAGCCTGGGCTCCATAGTGAGATCCCGTCTCAAAAAAAAAAAGGAAGGAAGCAAGCAAGCAGGCAAGCAAGAAAGAAAAGATGGTGTTTATTCCCCCTCCTCCAAAAAACCTACAATCTTGAATATTGAACACTTACTTGGAAGTCAACTTAATCACCAATGATCTGAAATATCTAACTCTTGGACCATGAGAATTTGAATAAGCAGGAAGATACGAATACAGGTCAGAAGAGTTTAGAAAAACAGGAACAGGAGTAAGTCAAGGTTGCTAATGCAACTGTTTAGTTTTTCTTGACCAGATCAAATAATACGACATTGACTCCCAAGTTTTAGAGCCTTCTGTGGCCCTGGGTTGGTGACAAACAGATGCATGAGGCTAGTGCCTTGAACTCAGATGTTGGGCAAGAACCCTTCCCTGTGTGTTTAACCAGGCTCCAAGGTGAGAAAGTCTGAAAATCCCTGCTCCAGGGCTATCTCTGATGCCAAATGATGTACTCAGCAGAAAAACACAGATTTCAGAATCATTTCTACTGAAGCTAGAACCAAGTACCAGGCAGTTTCCTGTGGATAGTGAGTGGCACGGCTGAGAAGCATATGAGCAAGGGTGAGGACTGGCTCTGGGAGACAGGAGGGTACTGGGAACAAACGTGAGTGGGACACCCCAGGTCGGCGGAAGTGGGAGCATGGCTGAGGTGGGGCAGGATCTGTGCAATCGCAAGTGGAAGCCAACAACCTGGAATGCTGCCGTTCTGGGTGGAGCAGGGGAAAGAGCAGTTGCTGCCTGTCTGGGCAAGGATTCTTGCCAGGACTTGGGTCACTGTCCTCTGGAATCCTGCTTCCACCGGGAACTGGCCCAGGGAAAGGAGACAAATGTGTTTGGATGATCTGTCCATCTACCTTTTTAGGAACACTGTAGAATCAGTGAGGAGCTCTGCAGAATCCCCAAGTGGTACAGGCACTGAAAGGCTCTCCCTGGATACGGTAAAGACCCTCCTCTTACAGACACTTCAGCTGGATCACCCACAAAGCAGCATCCTGATGCCGAAAGAAATAATAAGTGAACTTGCAAACAAATATTTCTGCCTCAGCAACTCTGGGTTATGAATTGAAAGAGGGCCTCTATTAAAAGTGACTGACACATCATTTTCCCAACAGATCCATTTTGTCTTTGCAAAGCGTGAGACACTTTGTAGAGAGCTCTGTTGTCCTGCTGCCAAGAGGGCAAGCTGAAGAGTAGAGGGACGAACAGAAACAGCCTGTGCGTTCTGTCAGCCCTCATTTATGGATCATGAATCTATGTTAACCATTCCCAGGCAAGTGGTTATTTTCCGCCCCATTTCATTCCTGTGACAGTTTTTTTCCCCCTGAGACAGGGTTTTGCTATGTAGTTCAGGCTGGCCTCAAACTCACCATGTAGCCCAGGCTGGCCTGGAACTTTCAGCAATCTTCCTGCCTCAGCCTTCCCAGTATTGGGATTACAGGTATGTGCCACCAGCCCTGCTCAAACCTTTCTTTTTAAAGTTAATTGGACATGTATTTCGTAGCAGAAAGCTAACATAGTAGATTAAAGTGTTTCCCTTTTATCTCTCTTCTCCAGAGGCCCAACGCCTCTTCCCTGAAGGAATGGATTCAATTAGCTTTTTAGGGATCTTTATTTTATCCATATTTTATGGATACAGTACATGAATTTTTTTTCACCACTGAGTACTGAACCCAGGGCCTCATGCACACTAGGCAAGTGCTGTAACAGTGAGCTACATGCCCAGTCCTTTCAGTTTTATTTTGGAAGAAGGTCTCCTGTGGCCTGTCTGGGCTGGAATCTCATGCCTCAGCACCCTGGGTGGCTGAGATGAAACCCTGGTGCCATTGTACCCAGCTAGGAGTCTTATTTAAATAGTGAAGGCCGGGGATTTAGCTCAGTGTTTCTGGCACCTGCCTCAAAAGTGCAAGGACCTGAGTTCAATCCCTGGTACCAAAAAAAATTTTTTTTAATTGAAATGTTGGGGCCGGGGATTTAGCTCAGTGGTTCCGCCACCTGCCTTGCAAGTGCAAGGACCCAAGTTTGATCCCCGATACAAAAAAAAAAATTGAAATGTTATTATGTATATTTAAGGCATACAACATGATGTTTTATATAGATAGTAAAAAAGTTACTGTAATAAAACAAATTATCATATCTAGCACCTGTTATAGTCTTCCATTTTGTTTTTGTAACAAGCCCAGTTAAAACTTACTCATTTAGCATAAATTCTATGTACAGTATGTTTTACAAGTGCTCACGTTGTGCATTAGATTTCTAGATCTCTATCTCTCCTACATATCTGCTACTTTATATCTTCCAATGTGTATTCCCCAACTACTGTCTTCTTCACTATCTCTGAGTTGCATGTAGTAGTAGGTTTCTACGCCACCTTCTCAACTGAGAGTAAACTCTGTCTTAGTCCAGTGGCAACCTGTCCTTGAATATATCCTGTCCTACAGGACTTAGATGAATCAGAGGTTTAGGTTTTGTTTTCCAGATGATTTCAGTGAGAGGTGTTCTCTTGGGAAAATAGGGGAAATATATATATATATATTTGGTTTTTCGAGACAAGATCTCACTATTGCAGCCCAGCCTTGAGCTTATACTGATTCTCCTGCCTTAACCTCCTAAGTGCTGGGATTACAGACATGTACCACAATGCCCAGCCTGAAAAATATTTTTTATTTTATTATTTTGTTGAAAAATGTGTTTTAAAATGTTACCAATCTAAGAGAATGTCATATTATCAAACTGATCTCTGCCAAACAAAGTTATAATGTCAAGTTTTAAAACAAGAGCAAAGCATGAGGCGTCACAATCCCAGATTTGAAGTTATAATTACAAAGCTACAGTGATAAAAACAGCATAGTACTGATACCAAAAAAAAGGCATGTGGATCAAAGGAACAGAATAGAGGATATAGAAACAAACCCAGGCACATGTAGCTATTTGATCTTTGACAAAGAAACCAAAAGCATGCACTGGAGGAAACATAGTCTCTTTAACTAACAAATGATGCAGGGAAAATCAGCTTTCTACATGCAGAAGATTGACTCTAGAACTGTATCTCTCACCATGTACTAAGTTTACATCAAAATGGATTAACGATCTAAACATTAAAACAGAAACAAACTGCTAGAAGATAAAACTGGTACAATTCTTGAAAACACAGATGTAGGCAAGAACTTTCTAAATG